TCATATTCGTTTATATTGTGGGTTTTTTTGCAAATGGGGCTTCATCGTTTTTATGTGGGATCTTTTGCTTTTAGGGCTTCAAGATGTTTTGTTCTTGAATGGGGCGTATGAGGATGTTGCGGGCTTTGTGAGGGTTTTATGATTGTTCTAATGTTTTTTTGTTGGGTTTCGTGAGGGTTTACAGGGATTGTTAACGGGTTGCACGATTAGGGGTTTGTAGGCTTTGTACTGGCGTTAATTTTAGTAGGTTTCAGAAGGACTTTGCAAGCGATTTATAACAGGGTCTAAGGTTTAGGGTTTAGCAGGGTGCTCAGAGTTCAGGGGGTGTTGGAGTGCTTGGGGTTTCGGTTGTAGGGGTTAACGTTTTGGGGTGGAGGATGGTGTTTCGGGTTCACTAAGCTGTGGTCTGCTGCATCCCCCCCAAAAGTTCCTCTCTTTTAGCTCTAGGTATGGCACGAAAACACACACCCCAAGGCCCTATTGCTCCGGGAATGGGAAAGGCTACCCCAAGCGGCGAAACAACCGCCGACAGCGACAACAACAGGCCGGCATCCTCGGGCGTTCAGCGAGGGCTGAAGGGAAGCCCCCAAAGCTTCCAAAGCGGAAGCTATGGCGCCTCCTTGCCTTTTCTTTGTGTACTTTCGAACTTCTGCGGGGTCTTGTTTTCCGGACCCCTTCAAGGCATTCCACCTTGCATGCTGAAAGACTCCTCAGGCATCCGCATTCCCAAGATCCTTGCACACTCCAAGACCCCCCAAGGTCCGAGCAAAAAAACAGAGATTTGTTGCGACCTTAGAGCCCCTGAAACCTCAAGCGCTTCAGGGACATCATGTACACTATGGACAACATCACGGCGCAGAGGAGCTCTACTTTGGGGTTTTCTGCCTGTCTGCCTGCCAGTCAGTCTGTCCGTCTGCAGGTTTGTCTGCGTGTTTGACTGTCTTCTTTGTTTAGGTGGTTACATCTGTCATTCTGTACTCTTGTTGTTGACGATTCTTGCCATCGCTATCGTGATTACTAGTAGCGGTAGCGGTGCCGGTTTGCAAGCAGCAAAACAGCATTGCCACAGCCACTTCCGAAATCATCACCAACAGTCGCTGGCAGGTATGACCCTCCAGGTAGCCCTAACACAAGGCTGAAGAGTCCAGGGTCTAGAGTTCAAGGGGCTTATAGGTTCAGGGTTTAGGCTGGAAGGTTAGGGTCCAGGAGTTCGATGCATTCAAGGTGTAGCCCACGCTAAGCTTGGCTCCCGAACCGCTTGAAGATCCTTGGAGGAGGGACAGAGGCTGCAAGGCGCTGAGCTCTCTGCAAGTTGGGCTCAGATCAGGTCCAAGGCTCCAGGATCCTTTAAGGGTTTAGGGTGTAGGGTTTAGGGTTTCGGGTTTAGGGTTTCGGGTTTCGGGTTTAGGGTTTAGGGTTTAGGGTGTAGGCCGAACGGTCGGAACACTTTTAACTTTTGGACTCTGATTGTTCTTTGGGGCCATATGCGTCTCGGTTTCAATTACAGGCCATTCCGGAACCGAACTTTCGGCCCAAAAAATCCGACACCTGCAACCATCGGCTGGAACCAGATCCCTGACTCAGCAGTCTGAAGCCCAAGCCAAAGCCGTACACCTCCGACGCATCCCTGAACCTTTCTCCCGCGAGCCCAAGCCGTTCAACCAACCCTCCCCCCCAATCCGCGGAGGCCCTTTCAACTCTGAATCCTAAACCCTAAACCCGAAACCCTGAACCCAAACCCCTAAAGCCCTAAAGCCCCAAAGCCTTAAAGCCCTAACGCCCTAAAGCCCCAAAGCCTTAAAGCCCTAAAGCTCTAAAGCCCTAAGCCCTAAAGCCCTACACCCGCTAAGGCCGGGGCCTGGGGCCTCTGCTAGGTTGCTTGGCTTGCCCTGGGTTGTTTTGGTTTAGGGCCTAGGGGTGAGGGTTTGCAGGGTTTAGGGTTTCGGGTTTCGGGTTGAGGGTTTAGGGCCTGAGGGGACGGTTGTGGGTCCAGATTAGGGCAGGGTTAGGGGTCAGTAAGGGTTCCGAGGTTCTTTGGCACCTACTGAAACCCTTTAAACTTTCAGTTCGTGCTCCTGGCTATGGCATTGAACTAGCTGAAGGAAGCGGAGGCTTGCCTTTGTCGTTGCTTGAGGTCTTAGGCGTGAGTCTGACCATCTCCCTCTCATTTCTGAATCCTTTCAGCAGGCTGTGTGAGGATAGGGCTTGAAGCTGTCAGAGCATGTAGGCTGGGCCAAGATGGAGTGCTGAGTATACGACTCTATACTACAAAACAGCCAAAGCGGCTGTGCCTGAGATCTGTTTGACTGACTCAATGTCACTGTCTGGTCTTGCACTAGTCCGGCTGGCTTCTGTGAAACCTCGCCAATGCCCGCGTGGGGGTGGAGCCCAAGAAGGCTGCATGGTTTCGCTGGCTAAGTAGGTGAAGGCTCTTATGGGACTTCAGGATGTTTTTCTCGAAATTCCCACATACTTTTCGCGCCACGGCTGCAGAAAGCCGTGCCGATTTTGCTGACGAAGGTCTCGCATGGCCCATGTCGTCGTCGCATGCCTGGTGCGCGGCGGCAAGGTCGTTTGGGAGTGTCTCCATGCGTTTTGGAGCCGAGACATCAGGTTTCAGGCAGTCCCGGTCTTGGTTTTCGGAATTTGCTGTTTTATGCCACACACAGTCGATGCCTGAGATAGTGCGAGAGCCTTGGAGTGTCAAGATTGTCGAGCTGTGTGCTAGACTCACTGCGGAAGCAGTCACCAGCGCAGGACGGCGGGGAGGCAAAGGAGCAGGAGGGGAAGGGGCAGGACGTGGAGGGGGAAGAGAAGCGGGATAAGGAGAATGAAAGGATTGACTGCCAGAAGTGGCGGGAGCAGCAGCAGCAGCAGGAGGAGGAGGAGAAGCCACAAGAACTAAGGATTATGCCTAAGTGCTAGCTGACGCAATTGCCGCAGTGATGCATCATGTTACCATCAACGCTGACTGAATCTTCCAGATATTCGTTTCAATCCTGCATCTTGCATCTCCGCGTCTACACGTATTGCGTAGGCTTCGGAAGTTATGTTGAAGCTGTCTCAGCCCTGGTCCTACCACATTCTCCAAGGCGGAACTTGGGCCCAGGCTTTGGAGTGAATTAAGCAATTTACTCCAAGTTATAGTAGGATCTCTCATATGATTTAAGGCACAGTCCTTCGAGTGCAGGTGATCACACCAGGCCTGGCCACATGCAGCGAGGGATCCCCCCGCTTGCGGCCACATGTGGTCGGGATCCCCGGGGGACAGCCTTGGCTTTCTGTGGAGCGGGTTTAGGGTTTAGGGTTTCGGGTTTAGGGTTTCGGAGTCAGGGTTTAGAGTTTAGGGCTTAGGGTTTGGGAAAACCTGAAACCAAGTTCATGCCAGTGGAAATCCTGACCCGTCGCACTACTCTTCTAGGAACCCTAAACCATCCTAAGCCCGAAACCCGAAACCCAAAGCCCTAAAATCCCTAAAAGCTAAAAGCCCTACTTCAAACCCAAAGGCCCTAAGACCCCAAAGCCAAGACTCTCCGAGGCTCGACTACTCAATGGTCGCCAGCCTGCATCGGTGCCCGAAGCTAAGCTCGTCCCTTCCCTCTTTCTCTAGAGCACTTCGGGTATTTGTATTCTTATGAGACTATGCGACTAAACCCCCAAAAAGATTCTTAGAAGTATCATGGTTAATATTGGAGAATGTAGAACTCGAAGGGGTTCTTGGAAGAAGGAACTTGTATTCTGCTTCTAAAGGGCTCTTCAGGTTTTGCCTCTTCGGGAAGGGTTCCGCTTCGGAAGGCCCAGGATACATCAGCCCCGGGAGTTTGGGATTTAGGGTTTTGGCGAAGCTTTGGGGCTTAGGCCTTGAGGGGTTGAGGGCTTTTGGGTCAGATTTTGTTGGGACGTAGATATTACTGATATAGGTACTCCACTGTTCCTGAGAGTATTACTAATCGTTTTGTTCGTGAAAAAATGGGAATAACCAGTGAGATGCATATTATCATGTGAGAACTGATACTAATCTTGCGCCTTTGTTGGTTGGTTTTTTGGACTTCAGATTCTGACTCCGGGCTAGGGGTTGCACGAGCGGACTTCCCTTCATACCACTGTTTTGGGTTTTTGGGTTTTTAGGGGCTTCGTGGGTTTTCGGGGGCTTTTAGGGTTTAGGGCGTCCCGGCCCATGCTGGACTTAGATGGGAACAGACTTCCATCTGGCGAATTCCTGAGATAGTGGGTGGCTTGCGAGTCTGGTAGGGAAAGGATTCAAGAGATTGGCGAGAGCTTACGTCCGGCAATATGGGGGTTTCCGAAAATAGGGGACCCTAATATAGTACCCTAAATAATAGGATCCCTATTATAAGGACCCCAAAATAAGGTACCCCTAACTTTCTGAAACTCCCATTTTTGTACACCACAAGACCACTGCAATGAATGGCCTTCGTGCTCCGGCCCAGGCCTAGGGTCTACGGTCAAGTGAATGGCAGGTGCTGTGCAAATGGAGAAAGAACAAAACGGGAAAGCAACGTTAAAAGAGCTAGGATCGAGGACGTTTCTCAAGACACATCCATGTGTCTGCCATGCAACTCATTCTTATCCGAGAAGGTGTGTCTATATTTCGTTTGTAGAATAGTGTAGAGCAATGTGGTTCTCAAGCAGCGCTTCAAAGTTATCAAAGAATCCAGAGTCCACGCCGTCAGGACGCAGCATGCTGAAATCGCGGCTCTGAATAGGCCTGGACTTGACAGCGTGGCGCAGGGTGGATGAGGATTCTTCACGTGTGTTTGTGGCTGAGGTGTGCTTGGGTCTCAATGAAGGTAGTTCATAAGTTAGTATCGGGACGAAAGCATGTGATGTCCTCTCCCTCCCCTTCTCTCTGTCTCTCCCTGCACATGTGTATATGTATATGTATATATATATATATATATATCGCTCTTTTTTTCGCTCTTTTCGGGCGTAGATGCCGTCCACGGCTGCAGCCCGTAGCTTGCAAAACCGAAAACTAATTAAGAAGTGAAACCGAAAAGTGGCTCCCAGTTGAAGGCTTTGGTGTACCAGAGTCGCCCATCCTTTGCTTCAGCAGACCGCAGGAAACACAGGGAAGCGATAGGCGTAGGTATCATTCCAGGCCGGTCTGTACACAGAGCAGTCGGGACCCCTAAAAGCCAAAGGCGAAGGGCGAACCGAATCAAGTCGCCGGCGAGGAGAGCCAAATCGAGAAGGGAGCCGAAGGCCCTGCCCCGAGTCGGGGTTGTGGGGCAGTCGTGCCAGGGCGGAAGGCCACAGACAGAAATCACAAAGACAGTGTCTCTGCCAACATCTTGCATAAAAGAAGGCACGCCCCCCTGGTGAAGGGCCTGGAAGCACTCGTCGAAGGTGAAGTCAATGGTCGACACCGGCGGTTGGCCCATGTTTTCTAGCCATGCCGGCGCCCCAACACGGACAACTACCCAATCAGAGGGCAGATCAACAGGCCGCGGGACAAGAGCAGAGACGTCAAGCACGGGGAGAGTGCAAGGCGCGTCCCTGAAGGTGCAAGCCTGGCGAGGCCTGACAACCGGGGAAGGAACGAGCCACTCAGCAAGCAGGGCCGTCAAAATCCATTGGCCGATTTTCCGCAGCACTCCCGTTGGGAAGGGATCCTCTATGCAGGCGTCGTCCAGCAGCGAGAGCCAAATCCTCGCAGTCGCCTGTATCTTCCGGATTGGAAGGCAAACAGAAGAGAAGGCAACCCGAACGCGTTCCCAGGCAGTTGACTCCGTCAGGGCTTCTTCATCCAGCCCGTAGGACAAGAACCTGAGGCATTCAATCACCTCTACGGACGGTCGTTCGAGGTAATCCTGCCAACCCTCCCCCAGGAAGGGGAGTAGGGGCCCTTGCGCCTGGAGAGACGGGGCCTGGAAGCGGCCATCATCAGGGGCTCTCTTGCTGCCAATGCCAGGCTCAACTCGGCACCCGTGTCCCGCCTCTTGCAAACGCTGGCGGCAGCAAGGGTGGTACTGCAGGTGCCGGCACAGTTTGACATGTGTTGGGAAGTGCTTAAGGCAGGCCTGACATTGTGTCCCGCTCTGAACCTGCCGATACTCGGCAGTGTGTCCGTGTGACTTAAAAGCGTGCACAGACCACTCCTGGTACGTGGTGAACAGCAACCCGCAAGGGGCACAGAAGTGCGGCTGAGGCGTCGGATTGGCCGCTTGAGGAGGAAGGATTGCCCCAGCACTGCGGAGCTGCCGGCAGATGAGGCCGTGGTGGTGTCGCTCCGACGACCTCCAACGCTCCTGGAGAACCGCTTGCAGTTGTCCTCGGCGGACCGCGCCTTTCCACCGACGCGGCTGGTGGAGGCACCACATTTTCCATTCAGACCAGGCTTCTTGCCAGCTGCGAGTCCAAACGCCATTGTCGATGTGCTCCCATAGCCAGGAAATCGACTGTCTAGCTGACTCCAGCCAAGACTCCTGCCAATGCAGAATGCCCCAAAAGACGGGCACGCTGGTGGTAATGCAGGGAAGGAGGTGACGGAGCCTAGCCACATGCAGCAACACCGGGATCGACGGGAGGCCCAAGAGAGACAACACCCGGCTCCGGCTCATGTGCATCGCCTGCTCATATGTAAAGGCAGGACGGAGCATGTAGCAGGCCATGCCGTGGTAGGCCGTCTCAAGGATGGCCAACTCGGGCCCCTGCAAAGTATCCCATGTACCTGCACCGTACAGGAGGACTGTCAGTATCAGTGACTCGTAAAGCAACACCTTGTCACGGCGCGCAATCCCTGGGGCACCGAAAATCTTCTTACGCCGGGCGTTGAAGGACTTCCAGGCCAAACCAACTCTGTGCTTCAACTCCCTGGAAAGCGAGGCATCATGGTGGATGAACCCACCCAAGTGCTGGTAAGTCGGGACAAGACGGACCTGGGCAGAGGGCCAAAGCCGGCAGTGCAAGCTTAGCTTGGGTTCGGAACCTGCAAAGAGCGTCGCGCGCACTTTGCGAGAGCCAGGACCTAGGGCGCAGGCTATGAACTCGGTCTTCCCCCGGTCAAGGTTGGGTAGAAGGGCCCGTGAGGCACACGCATCTACAACTGCCCTGCCAGTAGCCTCCATGGCACCGGCAAGTGCTCCGGCATTGGGCGACGCAATCAGAAAAGAGGCATCATCCATCCACGTCGCGTCCAGTGGTTGCAAGGCTTCAGCACAAGGCGCACCGACGCTAAAGATGTTGCCCAACATCTCGTTCGCCCAGGGGATCTCGGGAAGAATGCCGAGCTGTTGGAGGTCGGCCTGGACAGCCTGAAGAACCTTTGCGAAAATGAAGGAAAAACAGACATCCGCAAGATTGTCCCCGGGACGAGAGCCGATGTCAGTACGCACAACTTTCTCTCCGCCCTGGAAACGAAACCAGGTTCCAACAAGGGCTTCTGACATGCAAGCCGTCGTCCAGGCCGATGTGCCAGCCTCAGACAGAACAGGACGCTGCCCAAGGTGGACATGGAGTTCGTGCATAACCTCCGGCGGTAGCCTGACCAGCTGGGCCACCTTGGCAAAGTCCTCGTCCCCCCAGGGTGAGTACGCCAAGAGAGGTCTCACCACCCTGTAGAAGGCCTCACGAAGGTCCAGGAACAAAAGTCCATGGCTCCGTCTGCGTCTGTGGCTCCCGGCTTGAAAGAGTCTCACGAAGTGCGACCCCATGGTAACCGGGAAACTTGGCAACCCCCCTGTTTGCATAGGCTGCCCAAAGTTGCGAAGGGCATCAACAGACCTGTTGCGTATGGCGCGATGGAAGGACTTGCCTGTGACCGAACTGACGAGGATGCCTCTATAGGCGGAAGCCTTAGCCGTGCTCGATTTCCCCTTCCAGATCGCGAAGAGGCTCCCTCCCTTGAACTGAATGGGTTCAGCAACTCTGAGAGAAGCTTTCAGGAACAGTTGGTAGAGGGCCTTCGAGGAAGACCCCGCAGCGGCGTGCAGGACCTNNCTGGCCTTGCTGTATGTTCCTAGCAAGGAGCACGGGATCGATGCATGTCCCACCTTCAATGCCAGCGAAATGTTTGATCCAGAGGTCCTCAACTTCCTCAGCAGTTTGGGCGACACTGCCGTCTTCATGGCAAATGGCTTGAAGCGAGCTACCCCGCTGGGCCTGTCGCTTAGAAGGCCCAAGCAGGGGTCGTAGTCTCGTGACGACATCTGCCGTAGGAACTGAAGCGGCGACAGCTGCAGTCTCCGCAATCCTATTACGGGTGTCCTGTCTAACAAGGTGGCGAAGCTGGCTCTTGGTGGTCTGCATTTCCTGAACCAGTTCACCAAACTTGCGAATCTGCCGAATCGTTGGGAAAATGGCCAAAACTCGGCCGATGCAGAG